AAGAGGCAAAAATAGAAAAGTACAACTGGCGACAATTTCAACATTAAATTGACCTTTGATGACCCTAGTGAACATAGATATTCTCGACACCCCGCATCGAGTGACAGTAACGGCGCAGAGGAGTTTCTGAGTTTTTGTGGTTGATTTTAGTCCCATAACAAACCCAATAAAGACTTAACCATGAGTGAAAATCTTGAGCACAAAAAACTGGCCAGAGATCAAAGTTCGTGCTCTCTAGGGGGACAAAACAACACATCTGTGCACACGATTGAGGAAATGAAAAAAGTACATCCAGAGACTCGGAAGCAAGACGCCTGAGAGCAATTACACCTCCTCTCTTCAGTAAAAAATATCCAGACTGAAAATACGTGGATTCCGCTGTTGATGACGGAGAGCGCATGAAGTAAAAGATTGGAACTGCCCTTATGGCGAATTAAAACCCCGTAAGTAAGCGAAGAAGCTGGGCGTGTCAACCATGCATTACTTAAGCTTTATAAGCAGAATGACTCAGACGCAGATCGCCACTTTGGCAGGACTTTAAATGGATAGAAAAACGTCAACTATATCTTAATTCCTATCGTAAAATACTCAGAATGATTTGCAATCACTGCATGAAATACAGACCACATCAAATGGAACCCACTTTCATTATCAAGGTGGATATTATAAAGAAACACCAAAACGTGGCAGCCCACAATTGGTATAGGTGACCTTAACCAGAAATGAAGCTGAGTAAAGGAATGGGATGGGAGAGGAAACAAGCGAGTTGACGGCGACATCGAACACAAAAACGTTGACAACATTGAGGAATCTCGTTTAAGTCAAACCTGCTACAGCTCGGATGCAGGAGAAAGGGGAGCAGTTGACAGAGAGGGAGCACTAGTCTCTGTACGACCTTCCGAAGGTTCCCGCCAGCCCAGACGACCCAAACTGGGCACTGCGAATGCCTATTTACAGGAACGACAAATGCAGCAAGCAATTATATTGACGACCACGACTGCTTTGTGGAGCAAAAATTCGTCCGAAATTGCCGCATGACTAAGATCCAGATGCCACAGTAATTAGTAGAAATACAGGGTGGCGCTCACAAAAGGCCTTCCAGTACCTAGACCTCTCGGCATGTTCTTAAAAAAAATCTTAAAAGAGTAACACCGAAAATCCCACAAAAAATGACAAGTTTCAAACATATTCAAGACTCATATGTAATGAGGTACAGGAATACTGGAAAAATCTTGAGTTACACTCAAACACATCTACGAATAAAACCGAACCCACAAGTGGCCACGAAAACTTTCCGCATCAGCAAGAGTTTATCCGAAGGCAAGATTTAAAAATTGGAGCGGAAGAAAATATAAGAGACACACAAAACACAGTGACAGAATGACATCTTCCACTATAAATGAGCATACCGATGCTGAAACTGAGTAAACTCACCTTAATGGTACCAAAAGCGGAGCCCATTGTTTCCGAGATATTCTTGAAGGCGTCCGAGTTCCTTAAAAATCGTAAGTTACAAAAGGAAACGAAGTCACTTAATGTTTTCAAAGGACGTGGTTATCTTCTCCTTAACATCCTCTGCAACATCAATTGTCTTACTTCGAGCTTGAGCGAAAGCACGTTGGGTTTTCTGCATTCTATATGTCCAGATGGAGTAAAGATTAACCATGGCAAGTTGATAAACGTCATAACAAACAAAGCAAGACCAAATACAATGAAATCCTTACGTCTCACTTTCGCCAAATCGAGTTAAGCCTTCTCTAACATCGTACGAAATTGTGGTTATATCCGTGTGCCCCAGCTTTTTCTTTATCTCAACTAAGCGTTTAATTTTGACATTAAGTGCCTCCTTTAAGGTTTGAATATCATCCTCAGTCTAGAGAAGATTTAAAACTTGCCGTTCCTTACAGCAACAAGCTCCCTTTCAAGTTCTTCACGATTCAGAATATCTTCTCCTTCAATCACCGGCTCCGTATTTACAGCACCAGCAGCATCATCCCCAATTTCCATCTTGAAAATTTCCACAAAGTGAACTCGGAAACAGAGGCAGACCAATCCGTAGGTAGCGCCCTAGAGTACAAATCTGGCAACAGGACTCATCATCATCAATCCCCTGTGATTACTAGTTTCAAACTAAATACAAAGTTGCAAGTTTTATGTAGTGTAAGACAAAATCCATCCTGAAGTGAAATGCGAAACTTGCACGCTGACTCCTTAAATATAAGGCTATGCTAAGAACTTAGCAAGGCAGGCAAAAAAAAATAACTCTGCAATCAGCTGTTAATGTAGCAACCCGAAACTACTCAGCGGGTAGGAAAAGGCATTTTATTGTGCTAAGTGCACGTATTCCTGGAAGTGAACAGGAGATTAAGCCTTGGCTTGGCCCGAAGGCCAATCCATGGGCAAACGAGCAGGATGGATGTCAAAGTAACCACCAGACATCAAGCGGCCAAACAGACAAAGTATTGCAAACCAACGAGTTCAACCCAATTTAAAAAATTGTTTACGTAGTTGCATTGCCTGCCAGCCTACCCTAGGGATTCTGGATATCTGGATTCTTAAGAGAGGTGTTTGGACAGGTTCGGTTTCGAATAAGATAACAAATGATGTAATTATAGTGTCCAAAGACTTCCCACTGGGTGGAAGAATGTATTAAGTGAAGTCAGATACATGTATTTTAAAGAGGACATGACAAATTGGCCTGAGCATGGCCCGAAGGCCAGCCCACGGGTACAAGGGCCAAGCAACTACTGAAGTGGCCAAATAAACAAATCAATACAGTAAGGCTGGGCTGGCCTTCGGACTATGTTCAGGCCTAGTTGCTTTGTCCTTCTTGGAATACATGTATCCATCTCCCCTTACTGCCTTTCTTTACCCGGTGGGAAGTCTAGGGACTGTACAGGTTGGACTTCCCTTAATTTAAGCACGGGCTGCCTGTCAAATCGACCAACCATTTATTTCCTATAAGAGCAAATTGAGTTCAGTAGTATAAATATTGTGGTAGTGCCTTAAATATGAGATCGCTTCTGTGTCTATAGATTGTTTAGACACCTCACTTGCTCCTATGCGCATGGAATAACCCTCAAACCATGACAAAATCAAACATTCCCCTATTCTACAGAAAATATATGTTTTTACGAGTTATCGGAAAGCCTTAGAATGTTGCTGTAGCGTATCGGGACTTCCCACAGGGTGGAAGAAGGCAATGAAAGGATGAATGCATGTAGTCCGAAGGGAAAAAGCAAATGGACCCGAGCATGGCCCGAAGGCCAGCCCACGTGTACAAGGGCCAGACAAATCCTATAGCGACCACTAAACTCAGGTAGTCACATACACAAACCATTACAGTTACCATGCAGATTTCTTTGAATAACTTCGAAAAATGAAGCAAATTTTTTGTTGCTAAATACAGAAATGTTTATTTGTAGACCTTGATGACTAATAACTTTAGTAAGCCATTGTCTTAACAGTATTTTTAAACTAAGCAACGTAAATTACAGCTGACTATGTTTTTAAGTGAATTATAATCGTCGCCTAGCCATTAAATTATTTGTGCTTCG